CACAGACTTCCGGGTCTATCTGCTTGGCAATCCGGTGAGTGCCCAGATGTTCTTGGCTCAGGGCCTCCTACACTTGCCTGTGGAGAGCTGCTCCTTTCCTCTCATCCTCTGGTTTTCATCTCCATGCAGGTGATCTGGTGGCTGAATCTGGTGAGCATTGCCCTCTACCTCCTCTCAGGGAGCATTGCTGCCATCGCCATACAGAGAGGGGCACAGCTGCCTGCTGAGGTGGAAGGTCAGGTTGCTGGGTTCTCCCTGCCCCACCTAGCAGCTAGTAGCAGCCTGCATGCTAGAGGGCCTGCCTGCTGGGGGCAGGGGGTGTCCCTTACCCTCACCACTCATGCTTTCCCTTCTTGTTTTTTGAAAGCCTAGTCACCAGACACCCACTGCCGTTTCAACACTGTATCCTCCCAACACTCTGGGGTGTAGTGTATTATTACCCCATTCTATGGATTAGGAAACTGAGGCATAGTGAGATTAGGGAACTTGCCCCAGGAATAAGAGTGCTGAGGTTCAAACCCTAGCAGTCCAACTTCAGAGCCTTCATTTTTACCCCTATGCTGTAGCGAAAGCTGCCCATCTTCTCTGCTCTGCCCCTCCTTGCTCCGTGGCCCTGTCCTCTAGTGGGATCTCTGCTCCCTGGCGTGGGGTGGCTCCTTTCTGCCGTACCTCAGATAGGCCGGCAGTGGGTTCCTGTCCTGGTGCTGCTCCTGGTTGCTTTAGCTGTCAGGCATGGACCTCAGCATCCGAGACACCACACAGGCCCTTTCACCCTGCACCTCCCTCTCCCAACAGATGGTGTCAGGTACCATCCTGCTCTCTACCCTCACTTCCATCCCTGTTTGCTGCTGCAAGGGTCTGTGGCTGTGGAGGCAGGGAGGGGAGGATTGGGTCTGTAGGTGGGCAAGATTGGGTATTTTTAGAGCCAGGTTCCCTCCTGCCCAGACACCAGATCAGGCCCCCTGTTGGCATGCCGTGCCCCTGCCGTGGTGCCAAGGCCTTTCCAGGCTGGGCTCTGGCCAGGGCTCTCGACCCAGTTGCTCCTGTCTCTGGCCGCCATCAGGTTGTTTGGGTTGCTGCACCTGAGGGAAGGCCTGGTGAGGCACTGTACTTATTCAGAGTCACAGGGCGAGGAGGGCAGAGCTGGACTGTGCCCAGGCTGTCTGCCCTCCCTGTTTCCTGACTGGGGCTGTGCTGCTTGGGGCCCAGGGCTGACCAAGATCCTGCTGCGAGGAGGAGGCCAGGTGCTGCTCGGGTGGGTGCTCCATTACTTCCCATTCTTCCTGATGGGCCGGATCCTCTACTTCCACCACTACTTCCCAGCCATGCTCTTCTCCAGCATGTTGACAGGTCAGCACTGCCCGTCTGCTCTGTGGGGTGAAAAGGAAGGGGTTTGGGAAGGGGGAGTGGCTGCTGTGGAGCAGCAGAGCTGAGCAGATCTCTGCTCCCTGGTGTGGGGTGGTTCCTTCCTGCCGCACCTCAGAAGTTGTTCTCTGCTGGGCCGGGCTGAGTTTGTCTTCTCTCCACTAGGCATTCTGTGGGACACCCTCCTGCGGCTCTGTGCCTGGGCTTTGGCTTCCTCTTGCCTGGCCAGGGGCGTACACGCCTTGGGAATCCTGAGCCTGCTCCTGGGAGCTGCCTACAGGTGTGCACACTTGTATGCGTTACTGGTGCTTCAGCCCTGGACGCACTGAGAACGTCCTAGGATGCTAAAAAAAGGTGTTCTCATGGCTGGGTCCTGTCCCCAGAGTTCGTGAGACAATTGGTCACTATTTCTAAAGCCCCCCTGGGTGAGTCTGATGTGCAGTGAGGTAGGAGAGGCTGGGACTCAGTCCTTTGCCAGTGGTTCCCAGCTTTGGCACAATCCTAGCATTCCTGGAAGGGGCAGCCTGTCTCTCTGCTGAACAGCTCTTGGTGGGGTGAGAGAAAGGGAGCAAATGGGAAGGGGGATGTGGGAGATGTAGCTCAGAATCATTAGAAGGAGGTAGTAGGTTGGAAAGTCCTCTTTCCCCACTTCCTGGTGAGACTCACAGATTCCCTGTGGAGTCACTGCCTGGTTGTAGTAGGACCTGTGATCTATAAGCACATGCCTGCCACAGAGGGTTAACACATGTTAACATCTGCTCTGAGCCACACATCCCGCAGCCAGACCCTAAGCTTGGTCCCTGTCCCAGGCCTGTGGGGAAGAGCCCTTTCCTTCCTTGTTGTTAAGCTCTCAGGTCATGCCAGAGTTTGCCCGTATGGTGAGCTCGCACTGACGGGGTACTGAGAGAGAAGGACTGCTGTTGGCAGAGACCCGGGATCTCCAGCAGGAACAGCTGGCGTCAGGCTCCTCAGCTTGGCCTGGGATGTCCACTGCCTCTCTCTGCTTCTCTCACAGCTTCTACCTCTTCCACCCTCTGGCTTACGGGATGGTTGGTCCCTTAGCCCAGGACCCCAAGAGTCCAATGGCAGGACTAAGGTGGCTGGAATCATGGGACTTTTGAGGCTGCTGCAAGGACCCCAGCCTGGATCCAGGAACTTCCTGGGGACACCAGCTGTGAGCCAGTCCCTGGACCCTTCGGCTGCGGGAGCACTGCCTCAGGAGCCTGGAGAGTTCTGCTGCCTGCCAGGACCGAGCTCCGGGAGTGAATCCGGATTAAACTCAACACTAAAATGAGCCACAGCCTGTCTGCAGCACTACAGAGGACAGTGTCTCCTAGGCCCAGTTCCCCAAGTGTGCAACACAAGGGAGGATGAGCATGCATGAGGGTGGGTGTGAGGGTGGGAGTGTGTGTGTGAGATGCACACTTGTCCAAATCCCTGTGGAATATGGACCGTGTAACTGTGGACAGCTGAGAGTCATAAACTCTTAAGAAATAGTCCAGGGCTACAGTAATATTTTCTGGTATTTGTTCACATTGGATTTGGTTTGGTTTGGGTTTCTAAGATCCCTTAGAAAGCCTCTGACCTGCAAGAGGGCCTCAGGGACTGACCCCTGGGGATGTCACCAGGGGCATAGCAGATGGGACCGTTGAAGCCGCACTACCCTCCTTCCCATAAGCAAACAAGTCCAGCTGAAGAGAGCAAGTGTCCTGCACTGGAGGGCCTGCTCCCTGCTGCCTCCTTGAGTGTCCTCTGTGACCACAGGTGGCTGAACTTCTGCCTGCAGTGTGCATGGCACTGGGCTTCAGCCCTGTTCCCCTTTCTCTGGGAATGTCACACTGAGGTTGATGGGAAGAACCCCACCCTGTCCTTGGCAGCTCCATGTCCCTTGGCCTGTACTCCAGAGGGTCCTTCTCACTGTCTGTCCCTTTCCTTCTATATCTGACTTGGCCACAAGGACCAGGACAGCCGCTCTCTCCTGATCACCAGGAAAGCCCTTGGGAACCCTTCATAACTGCTAAGACAGATAAAGGGAGAGCAGGGTCTGTGGCTCTGTGCCAGGGCAGGGGGTGCTCTGGCCCATCCGGACCATGACATTCCCATTCCTGCTGGACCTCTTGGCCTCTCCAGTCCTCCCCTGTTGATACCCTCTTTGGCTATTGGTGCTTCCCTTTTCCTGTTCACTGCTTCACTGATCTCCTATCCCCAAACCCAGAACTCCTGCAGATGCACAACGGCTCCAGCGTCTACCACTTTGAAGCACAGCTGAGGAGCTCAGAGCCTCTCCTTCCACTTGTCTCCCCAGAGGGATTAGGAAAACTTTTGGGTCAGAACCAAACCAACCCAAGGCCAGCCCTTCAGCCTGCCTCCCTCCTCTCAGTACAAGACAAAAATGTTTATTTTGTCTCAGAGGAGTTTGATGTTTCAGGGTTTAATGATGAATCTCTGCCACGTTTCATCTTCCCTTGCAGTAGTTCCCAACAACTCTGACAGGGTCAGAGCTCTTTAAAGCATCTTCAGGAGATGGTTGCCACGGAGACTGGAAATTGGTCTCAGGGACAGACTGTGCTACCTCTTGAGTGGTAGGGAGGGAAGTTTCTGGGCCATGCGTGGACGTTCAGACCAAGCATCATTAATGTTAATAGAGGAAATGCAGCCACGTGGAAAGCAAGGCAGAGTGGCTAATTAGATCTGAGGCCCCATGACCTCCCTCTCCCACGGCTGCAGCCCTTTTGACTCCCCAGCAGGAAGTGTGGCCTGCGTGCAGAGTCTGGGTCGCCTGCTAAATTGCATTTCTGCCAGGGGAGGAGAGCAGAATGGATGAGCTCTGGCCCTTGCGCCCTCCTCCTCACAGGTGGAGTTGGCTTCTCCTGAGCTGGGTGTGGGCACCATCTGGATGGGGTCTCAGAGGTTTGGATGCAGGAATCTGTTGGCTCTTAGCCAAGATGGTGACCCATGATGACATCCAGGAGGTGGCTTCTTTTCCCTTTTGCCTTCTCATTTCCCAAGAAGAACTTGTTGGAAGGGAGGCATTTGAAGAAGCCAATAGGGTGACCTCTGGGTGAGGGGAAGCGAGGAGAGAGCTCAGCTAGCACCCACCCACCCTCCCTCCTAATTTGGTCACACTGGGGACAAAAGTTCCCTCAGTCTCTTGCGCTGCTTTCCAAGGATGGAAGAAAGAGGGCTCACTCCCACTCCTTTTTCTCCACACTCATGCTGGCAAACACTTCTCTGGGGACAAGGCCACATGGAGTGGTACAGCTGCAAGGGGCTCAGGTGCTGTTTGGAAGGTGCTGGGGGAAGAGACCGTCAGGTGCTGCTCTGAATGTGGGCTGCAGCCTTGGGAACTGGCAGAAAGGTGACATATCTCACAGGCTGCAGGTGGAGGAGGAGACATTTGTCAGTAAGCCCAACCTGGAGCCAGCATCTTGAGCCACGTTTTATTTAAATAAAAAAGAAAAGAAAAGAAAAGTGGAACCGTAAGAGGTTCCTTTTGTAATAAATAGCTCTTGTTCTGAATGCCATGTTGCTTGTCGTTCTTGTATTTAACTGAACCTGACTTTCCCTCTGGCTGCCAGAAAGGCCTCCTTAAGAAGAGAAGAAGGTGTGGAGGGCAAGAACCATCTCAACGTTGTCATGTCTGAGGCCCTTCTCGTCCCAGCAGAGGCTCTGGCCAGCCAGGGCACTTGGGCCTTCCCCGGTACATAATTACTTGAATAATGTTGGATATTTAAGTTTACGTATTCTAAGATAAGTAGGAAGCTGACCTTGTATTTTTTTCTTGTTTGACTGCCCAGACAGTATAGCCCTTTGTCCCCTTCTGAGTGGCCCAGTATTGTAGCAATTTGCCATTTTCTTAACAGAGGCTCTGTCCTGATGGGGTCTTGTCTTCTGGAATGACATGAGGGAGTTGACTTATGTGTTGGAGGAGATAGGAGGGAGTGTTACCACATGGGGGAAGTTGGGGGTCTTCTGGTTTCTTCTGACTGCTCCCCTCAGGACCAAGAGTGGTTGGAGGCAGGCTGGGGAGGAGGGCAGGTCGTGCAGATCCTCAGGAGATGGAAAATGCCCGGGACAGACAGGTCAGAAACAGATTCAATACTTAGAATGGCACAGCTTAGTTTATGGATTTTTTATTTTATTTTTTGGTACCAAGGATTGAACCCAGGGGTGCTTAACCATGAGCTACAACCTCAGCCCTTACTTGCATTTTATTTAGAGACAGGGTCTCACTGAGTTGTTTACACCTTGCTTTTGCCGAGGCTGGCTCTGCTCCTCCTGCCTCAGCTTCCTGAGCTGCTGGGATTACAGGCGTGCCCCACCACGCCCAGCCAGTTCAAGGAATTTTGACACACCTGTGACATTGATTCCTCTTAAAGGCCTGGTGAAGTCAGTGGTGTTCTTGTCTCCATTCTACCTGGGAGAGATTAAATTCCCTGCTTGAGGTCCTACAGCTAGGAAATAGTAGAGGCAGGATTAGCACCAAATTGGGCATTCTTGGCTTCTCCAGCCTGGACTGGCAGCACCTCCTGAGAGCCCTCTGGCAGCGCTGGATGCCCTGAGGTGAGGTGTCCCCACTCGGTGCATTCCTGTGTACATTCTGTGTAGCGCATCTGCAGCTCTGCTTGGAACAGGTTTCTCCTGGTTCCCCAGGTGTGCCCAGACCAGTGGTGGTAGATGTTTAACAGCAAGTTTTCTCTGAGCTACGAGAAGCCCTGATTGTAACATTTACCAATTTCCAATTCTCCCACATCGGCCTATTTCAAGCTACCAACTGAATGAGAAGTTGGAAAGAGATGTAGGCATCTGGCTTTCTAAGCCCTGTCAGAGCTGATTCTAGCACACCTCTGACCCAGACCCAGTGGCTTTGACTTGGTCTGAACCATGGACACTGCTCTTGGTCTTGGTGAGGGAACAGTGGAGAGGATGGGCTGGGGGTCCCCCTGTGGTCAAGTGCTGGCCCCATCACTTGTCTACTATGTGACCTCAGGCTGGTTACTTAACCTCTTTGCCTCCTTTCCTCAACTGGCTTCATCGACTGTTGAATGCAGAGTTAACGAGCACAGTGTCACTGGTGCTCAAAACTAGCACTTTGCTGTTACTAATGATACATTGCTCTGAGCGACAGTGCTGGCTGAAGAAAAGCACTTGAAGGCTCATCCAGGCTACAGCCTACGTGCATCTCCGCAGGTGCCCCACAGGGAGGAGAGTTCCAGCCCCTCAGAAGAGAGGTTAGTCACTACATGTCCTGGATGGGACACGTCACTTGGGCTCCTTCAGCCACACCTGATTCTCAGGCCCTTCTCCAAGGGAAGCAGAGATTGGAGTACACTTGGCCCTCTTCCCTGCCTTATGGCTCTAGGAAAGCAGAGGAGAGCCGTGGGTTTGAGCCCACTCTACCATTTCCCCGCTAAGGCCAGTAGCTCCTGTGAGCTCCTCAGACTGCTGACCCTATCCAAGGGAGAAGGGTGGACTGTTGATAGGGAGTGCAAACTGGGTAGAGCAGGTGCCTTCACAGAGCACCAGGCATCTGAGCACTAAAGGGCAAAGGTCACCAAAGTCTCATGTGGCCTTTCCACATGGTTTTCTGTTCCTACAGAGCTATGGGATCCCAGGTTGGAAATTTGGTTCCTTCTTCCTTCAGCCTTAGTCCCTTTGTACTCTTGCGTGGGGACCTCTCAAACTCTTTAGGACTCCAGGCTGCCCCAAAGCCTTACTCTCCTGCTCCTGCGCAGGGAGATACTGGGAAGATGGGGAAGAGTGTGTACCCAAACTCTGCCCTGGAGGAGGGGGAGCAGCCAGATGGCCTCATGGGGCTTGGCCTGGATCAGGACTAGTCCTAGTCCCTTAGTCCTGATTCAGGATTAGAAGTTTTAGAAGTTTTTAGCACTCATGTCTAGCATGGGGCTGGCCATGAAGCCATAACCTGTTCATAACTAATCTTCGAAACTGTCTGGGATCCATGGGATCAAAGGAGGTGGCCTCTGGAGACCTTGCCGCCCAACCCCCCTATGGTACAGCCGCTGGAACTAAGGCCCAGAGATGGGGGCAGAGTGAGAGGAGAGCAGCTCAGATACTCAAAATTTATGAAAAGTAAGATGAGGATGAAAATAGGCCTGTTCTCCCTAACCTAGGCTGCTGGGTCTGGGCAGCTGAAGGAATTTTCATGGTTGAAAAGTTTGGTTTGGACAGGTGGCCAGGGCACACCTTGAGGGGTTGGCATGAGTGTTTGACCTGGACTAGTACTATTCGTAAAAAAAAAAAAAAAAAAAAAAAAAGTCATGATTTTTAATAATCCATGGAGCCATGGAATGAATGGTAGAGCTGAACCCCTTCCACATCTGTAACGCGTCTAATGCCCTGGCTGCGATTGCAAACACAACTCACAGATTTCCAGAAATGGGGGTCTCAGGAAAATCTGGGTCTGGATGGAAATGGCTGTGGTCTACTCCTAAGCTGAAAGCTCTAGTAGTCCCCAAGGTGCCCCTGTCAGACTCTGAACTTGGACAACCAGACAGCCTAGTCATAAGGTAGATGACCTGGTGCGCACTGGCTCCACATCCTGACAGAAAGAAACAGTAAATGGGCACGATTTGAGCAAAGACCATGTGCTCAGAAAGCAACAAATCCAGTCTCCAGGCCGTGTTGGAATGGGGCTTGTTGGAGAGGTGGCCACAAGCTGCGTCTTACTAAGAGGAAGAATCAAATTCAACGCAGTCTTTTTGGGGCTCCTCGCCCTATGTAGTAACTAGTCTCACTAGTTTCCGAGTGACAAGCTGAGGCCAAGAGAGCCTGAATGATTTGCTCGGCTCTAAACCTGGACATTCCCAAGGCCTCCAGGTCGTCCCTGGCCAAGGCGGTGGCAGAGGGACTGTGCGCCCTGCTGGACAGGAGGGGGACCGGGCAGCGGTTGCTTTAAAGGGCGGCTCTAGAGCTGCAGGGTGCAGGGTGCAGCAGCCCAGCGGGGTCCCCGGAAGCGCCAGCAGGACTGACACCGGGGGCGCTTCCACCTTTGGCGGGCTGCGGGCATCTTCTCTTGGCTCCGGGCCAGGCGAGGAGCGGCTGTTGGGCCCCGCCCGGCAGAGGCAAGGGGCCGTAGGCGCAGGGGCCCGCGTGGCCGCGGAGATGGCGTGGCACGTGCGGTGACGGCGCCCGAGCCCCGAGGGTCCCAGCGCTGCGCCTCGCGTCCCGGAGAAAGCATGGAGCGCCCAGAGCCCGAGCTGATCCGGCAAAGCTGGAGGGCGGTGAGCCGCAGCCCGCTGGAGCATGGCACAGTCCTGTTCGCCAGGTGAGGGCTGCCGGAGCGCCCGGGGGGTGCGGGTGGGCGAAGGGGTGCAGCGCCAGGAGCGATTTCAAGGCAGCTGCAATGGGATCGGAGGAGGAAAAACCGGCCCACTGCGGTGGCTCTGGGGGGCCTGCCAGATGTGCGCCAGAGGAGCGCAGCGCTCGGCGACGGGTGGCGCACCCTTTTCTGCTCTTCTCTGGGGCATGGGCGCATCTTAGGAGCCAGTGCAGCACACCCTGCTCTCAGCTGGCCTCGCTGGCGACAGGTGGGATCCTTCACTCGAATCTCTCTGGTTACACCTGGGTGGGCGGAAGCTGGTCCCGCGCTGTGCCCCCCTCCTCGACCCTGCACTTCCTGAGTGTTTCTTGGGTGGGGACAGCAGGGGTGCTTACCGCCGTCGGTAGGAGGAGACTGGAGCATCCCGAAGGCCGGTGTGGTAGGGTGTGCCAGGCGCCTGGCAGGCAGGGCAAGCTCCTTCCTGCAACGGGGCCCCAGGAGTGCGCACTCCCAGCAACCGGCAGGATAAACCCTTCTGGGAAAGGACCAGGTTAGGACCCGAAAACCTCCAGAGTAGGGGTGACAAACACCCAAGTCTTACCACCAGGAAGAAGAGTAGGGGGTGTGCAGGTCCTACAGGGCAGGGAAAGCTAATTTTCAGCCTCACCTTGGGTCTCTCTCTGGAACCCCTCTGCCATCACCAGTGGGGCCACACTCTCTACATCCGGGTTTTTCAGGAAACTTGGCTTCCTAGGCCAGCCCAAAACTTCTGACCAAGTTTTGCAACCCACTTCCAACCCCCTCAGACGCAGTCAATACATAACAGAGCTGCAAGAATTACACAAAAGCATGAACCCTCCAGAATAAGGCTGATAGCTTCTGGTTGTGCCTCCTGGATTTCCCCAAGATCATTTTTCCCCCCGCTGGCATCTGCTGTGGCTCCACTACTTTTCAAGCTGTGTGACTTTTAGCAGGTTGCTTAGCCTCTCTGGGATTCTGTTTCCTCCTTTGTAGAATTGGTCTAAGGCACTCACTGCTTAAAATTATGAGGGATACAAAATTACAAGTCAACCACCTGTGAAGTACTCAGTGTTCCATAAGCGTAAGGATTTTGTTTTTGCTAGAATCATTGGTACTCAGAGCTTCCTCAGACATGATGAGACTGAGAAGTCCTAACCCAAGAGCAGGGGTGGGGGGAGGTCCCCTCCTCAAGGTAGCTCCAGGTTTCTTACTTGAGGATGCCTTCCTGTTCCAAACCTCCTCCTTAATATTTATGGAGGGGCCACTGTATGCCAGGTAGTGTAAGAGGTCTGGGGACTACTGTCCTCTCAGGGATGCCCTTCAGGGTCTGGGAAGAGGTGAGGAGGGCATTGGCAAGGCTGGCAGTGCCAGGAGGGAGGGTATGCTGTGGTTGGTGGCCACCACTGAAGCTCAGCTTCACTGCCGGCCAGCCAGGTCACTGGTGCTTGCTGGACACACCCGACGCCTGACCCCTGTTCCCCTGACCCCCCTCCCCTCCCCCCGCAGGCTGTTTGCCCTGGAGCCCGAGCTCCTGCCCCTCTTCCAGTACAACGGCCGCCAGTTCTCTAGCCCGGAGGACTGCCTGTCCTCCCCGGAGTTCCTGGACCACATCAGGAAGGTGAGGGGTGGGGCAGGGGGGGCCTCAGTGGCCACCAGGATCCAGCAGAGGAGGAGGGGCTTGGGACAGGGAGGAAGACTTCCGCCTGGGCTTGATCTGACTGCTGTGATGGCTCCCCTCCTCCCTGACCCTGTGCTTAGCCAGCTGGTCCCAGCCTGTCATTGCCCTTGACCTCGTCCACCCCGCCCAATCATGGGGACTGGCGCACTCCTGCCCATGGAAACCGGGTTGGGGTTTCCTAAAGGCTCCTCACAGGGGCCTCAGTTTCTCCTCGGCCTGGGCAGACAGCACCGTCCAGCAGGCACGTTAGGGACTTGAGATCCTTGGAGGAGGAGGAGGACTTCCTTCAGGGGTGTACCCACCCGCTGAGTGCCTGCTGACGTGGACATAGGCTGCCAGGTCCCCCTGGTCCTGGAAAACCGAGGCCCTGCAGCCCTCACTGCCCTCTGGTTGGGACCCCGGGTTCTGGGTTGTGGTCATGTGCAGTAGGGTTGCTCGGGCCTCTCTGTCACTGCTGTCTCTGCCTTGGCAGGTGATGTTCGTGATTGACACTGCAGTGACCAATGTGGAGGACCTGTCGTCCCTGGAGGACTACCTTGCTGGCCTGGGCAGGAAGCACCGGGCAGTGGGCGTGAAGCTCAGCTCCTTCTCGGTGGGTAAAGGGGCTCTTCCTCTTTCCAGTCCTCCCCTAGCACCTGTTCTCTCCACCCATGCCCTTCCGTTCAGATGACCAGTTCTGGTGGCCCACATCAGTTATTATCTGCTGTGTGACTCGGACGCTGGCTTGACCTCTCTGAGCCTCCAAGTTCTCTTCTCTGATACAGTTTTCTTTTCTTTTTAGAACTATAAAGTTTAGAAGCTTTTGGGCATGTTTGGTTGGTTCAGCATTCCACTGCTGGGTATCAAACCACCCCAAAAAGTATTGGCTTAAAGCAACGATTTCTAATTTCTTAGGGTAGAGCTCAAGTAGGCAGTTCTGATCCACATGGTGTGGTTGGAATCACCCACATCTGGCATCCAGCTGGGCCTTCAGAAGAGGCTGGTAGGTCCAAGCTGGCCTGTGAGTAATAAATCGTATTTGATTAATAATAACAAATGAGAGCATCATATGGCCAAAGGCTTAGTGTTTGCAAATACTGTGCTTTTTATAGATTATCCCACTGAATCTCCCAACAAGCCCAGGACTTGGACTTTACTTTGCCTGTTTAATTGATATAGACTGAGGCTGAGAGAGGTTATGCAACTCGCTCAGGGTCAGCCAGCTCTTCAGTGGTGGTCAGAATCTGGACGCAGGTCTATCTGGCTCCGCAGCCTAGACCCTTAACTCTATGACTGCTGCCTTGCGGGGGAGGAAAACTGAGGCTCAGGGGCAATGATTTGGTCGGTTCGGAGCCAGGAAATGCCTTGATCCTCTTGTGAGTGGTTGCAAAGCTGGGACTGGAGTGGAAGGTTCTATTTGCTGTAATGTGTCATATTTGGGGAGAAGGTGGACACAATGTGGTTCCCAAGGACTGGGATAGGACCCTCCTTAAGAAGCATCAGCCCCGTGCAGGAGAGAAGGAGGCCAGGAACCCTTCCCAGTCCTTGGCCTGGTTTTCTCATCTGTGCAATGGATCAGTGCCTTCCTGCCTTTTGGAATGACTAGGCGCCCCTTGCCTCTGCAGACGGTGGGTGAGTCCCTGCTCTACATGCTGGAGAAGTGCCTGGGCCCGGCCTTCACACCGGCCATGCGGGCCGCCTGGAGCCAGCTCTACGGGCTTGTGGTGGCGGCCATGAGCCGGGGCTGGGACGGCGAGTAAAAGGAGCCCCCTGCCCAGAGGCAGCCCCAGCTCTCTGCCTGTTGGTCTGTGTCCACTGTAGCCCTGGCTCCTCCAGGCCTCCCTGCATCTCGGTCCTTGTCCCCTTGGCCATACTGGAGGGGTGATGGGGCAGGAGCGGGTCCCCCCTTCCCAAATGCACAGCAGGAAGGGGCTTCTGGGTTCCCCTCCTCCCCGCAGCCTCCTCCCCGCCTGCCTTTTGACCTCCCTGGCACCCCCCTCTTGCCCCATGAGAAGGAGAGAGTTTGGGGCACAGAGGTGGCGTGGGGCTGGGAAGGAGCTCCGAGAGCCGGGGGCTCCTCTCTGTGTCGCCCTTCCTAGGACAAGTGGCTGGGCTCCAGCACCGCCCCCTGCTGCCCAGGCCTGTGCTGCTCTCCTGCCTGCCTCGGGTGTTTGTTTCAGACTTAGGGACAGATGTGTCCCAGCAGTGGAGCAAGTAGTGGGTGCCTTGGGAAGGGGGGTGCCTGCTCCACCCTGGGGCTCCTCTGGCTCTCAACTGCTCAGATACCCCCAGAGAGAGTAGTTTTCCTTTGGCAGAACATCGGGCCCCCCCTGGGCACTCCTGGCGGGAACTCCCTGATGCTGCAGGGAACAGCATCAGGGAACAGGACTGGGAGGGGCTGGGAAGGTCAAGGAGGAGGGGCCACCGAGTCACAGTGGCTTTTCCTCAACACCCAGCTTCAGCAGGGCCGCCATATCTCCCCACCTCCTTTCTGCTCACCTGCTCGGGCTGGGGCCCCACAGCTGCCATATTTAATGCCCGTGGAGTGCCAGGACTTGGGCAGGTGGGTGGAAGAGGAAGCAGCGGGAAGGGCCAGCTGCCGGCCACCTCTACGACCCTTTTGCTCTCTGCTGTGGTCCTGTAAACTTCGAGGAATAAACATGTCCTGTTTGCCTGTCTAACCTTCAGGGACTGGTCTCTTCTTGGGCCCTGCCTGCTCTAAATGCAGCTGCAGGGCATGGGACCTAGCATGTCCTGGGGGGGGGGGGGGGGGGGGCGTGGTTAGCGGAGCCAAGGCCAGAGATTGTGGAAAATAAGGCAGAGGCTGGGGAGGCTGGAAGGCCATGGTGGAGATGGAGCTGCTGGTTTGGGCTTCAGACTGACTGTCAGGCCACCAAACCCAGTCTCTCCTGTGCTTACAGCTGGGCGACACTGCCCAGCCTCCCTTGCAACCAGGCAGGAAGGGGACAGCTCTGTCAATGAACAATGTGTGGGGCTGCACCCCTTCTTGGTGTGTCCCCCCCAGCCCCCTTGTGCTCCTCCTGCTCTGTCAACCCTTGCCAGTTCGAAGCAGACCTCACAGTGACTTTGAGGACCATGTGCTGAAGGGGACAGAGCCACCTGGTGAAAGGAGTCTGGTCCCTGAATCACTGCTTGGAGAGGGTTCCCTCTCATCAGGATCGCCCATTTGGAATTTTACCAGAAACAGATAGGAACGTGTCTTCTGTTGCGCTGTTAAGTGCTCAAGATCCCCCTTCCTCTTGTCTTCCTCATGAAGACTTTTTTTTTTGGGGGGGGGTTACTGGGGATTGAACTCGGGGCCACTTGACCACTAAACCACATCCCCAGCCCTATTTTGTATTTTACTTAGAGACAGGGTCTCACTGAGTTGCTTAGTGCCTCACTTTTGCTGAGGCTGGCTTTGAACTTGTGATCCTCCTGCCTTAGCCTCCCAAGCTGCTGGGATTACAGGTGTGCGCCACTGAACCCACCCAAGACTTTTAAAACCCAACTTCGTGTTCTTTCATGGCTTCACGTAACTGGCTTGTCTACACCGGTCTGTGTCCCGAGTTACAGTCGGGTGTGGCTAGACTGGGGACCCCTCCTTGCTTCCTGAGTCCCTCCAGGAGCTCCAGGTCCTGGCCGCTGCTCCTTCCTGTAGTTTCTCTTTTTCACGTCCTGGGTTGGCTCAGCCCTCTGACCTCCTCACCTGTGTTTGCTCGCTTAGGGTCTCAGCCAGTGCCCTGCGCTACCACCAGACAGGACGTGATGACCCCAAGCTTTATGTTTCCAGCTTGACCCTGTTATCCAGCCACCTCCTCGACCTCCTCTTGAACACCTCAAATGCAACACGACCAAATGGGACTCTTGGCATCCCTCCCACCTCACCCCAACCTGCTCCTTCTACCTGCTTCTCTACCTCATAAACCACTGCTTACCAAGAAACTGGGGTTCATCTTTATTTCTTTCCCTTAGATTCCACACCTAATCCAGCTAGGAATCCTTGGCCCCTAGGAAAAATTCAATTACGTCTCTCCTTATTCTCTGCCCCATCCTGGTCCGTCCCTTACCCCCAGCTCCAGTGATTGCACAGTAGCTGTCCAAGGACAGCTCCCCACCCCCACTCATGCTGGGCCTCCTCAAGCTCTCACAGGCCTCCTCCCTTTGGGGACAGAGGATGACAATCTCCAGGAGTCATTGCTTCCAAGAGGAAAACTCATGGAGATGACTGGGGATGAGTTACACATTATAAATGTGCAGGGAACTATATATTTAAAATGGTTAAGACGGTAAATATTTTGTGTATTTTGCAACACTGGAAAAAAATTAAAAACATAAGAGGATCTTGCCACTCCCCTGCTCAGAATCTTCCAGTAGCTTCCTACATCATTGGTAAAACCCGGAGCCGGACCAAGGCTACAAAGCCTGCTGCTCTCAGGCCTCACCCTGACCCTCTCCTTCCCATCTTCATGCTGCTTCGGCCACTCTGGCCTCCTCACTGCCCTTTGGGACCTGTGTGTGGTCCCTCTATTCTCATGGAGTTCATCTTGGATCCTCCTCATCTCCAGTCACTTCCTGCCCTCATCCTGCTTTGTCCTTTCTTCAAAGCACTCATTCCTCCCTGATGGCCCCTTATATAATCTGTTTATTGCAGTTGAACCTTCTATTGCATAGAAATGGGCATGAAAGCCACTTTGGCATTTGTGTTTGAAGGAAGAGGAGATTCTCCACACTGCTACTGCAGGTGACAAGGTAGTCAGTCAGAGGGCCCCCTGAGGCTTGGTGTGTCCCAAACAGTAATCACACTTTTGAAAAGAAAGATTATTATGACAGAAGTTGTGCCCCAGCTGGTGAGATGCTGAGCCTCCTTACCTCTCCCTGCACAATACAGCCAGCTGAGGGACATCTGTAAAAACGGAGGTGACAGGGCACCACCCCAGAAATTTTGGTTTGTTCGGGGATGGGGTCTGGGCATTGGGTTTAAGAATTTCCAGAGACTCCCACTTGTGGCTGGGCTGAAGGACCCAGCCACGGAGGCTTGACTGATGCTGGCCTGCTCGTTGTCAAGGCCAGGGACCATCACATTTTCAGAAAACAGGCTCTGTTGAGTGAACCCAGGAGCTTGTCTTTCTGTGAACCAGCCCTCCAGCCCCCATGCTCGCCAGGCCTTCCAGAGAGCACCACGGGCCAGCACCACCACCCAGGACAGGCCCGAGTACCACAGCTCCAGTGCCATGGCTTTGGGAGGGTGGCCGGGAGCTGCCCTGGGGGTCCTCTTGGCAGCCCTTGCTTGGGCTCCAGGTGGCAGCTCTGGGAGCCCTGGGCACTCCTACTACCTCCCCGACCTGGCAGTGCCCTGTGTGGTGCTCAGACTGGTACTCTAGTGTCCCATGGACACAGCCCTGTTGGCCTCCCTGGCACCATGCCTCTCCCACAGACCCATGCCCAGTCACCCTGCTGCTTTGTAGGCCTCCCAGCCTCCCTGGATGGCTGAGCAGAGGGGCCAGCCTTCCCTGGGTACCCCCTATTTGGGGCTCCACATCTTGTCTGTATGTCTGTCTCTGCCTGAGTCCCCTGACAGGGCAGCTAAACCAAGGGATAGCCCAGGGCCTGCCATCTGGGGACCCTGGAGGCTGCTGGCCCCTTGGAGGAGACCCTCAGAGGCAGCTGACAGGATTGCATAGACCCCAGGAGAAGGGCCCTTTCCTGCAGCGGCCATTAGCCCTCTAAAATCAGGCAGGAGTCTATGCCACTCTGTCCCCTGCATTCAGCAGCCCTGGTGGGTTTCATCTGGTTTGACTTGAAAAATGGTTGTTTTTTCAGGGGAGAGGAAATAGGAGGATGATCTCTGGCCCCACACCCACTGATGGACAATGAGGGCCTAAGGAGAGGCACAGTGAGGGCAGTGGGGTACAGTCTTCAGGCAGCCACCCCTGGACTCATCCTCTGTCCCCACAGCAGCAGTGGAAAGGAAGCCTCCTTGACCCCGGCGGGGGGACTCTGATCTCTTCAGAAATAGGGCAGAGCATGGACTCCTACCCCTTCTTTTTCTCTTTCAAGTACTGGAGATTGAAGCCAGGGGCACACTACCACTGAGTTTTTTGTAAAGCCGGGCACCGTGGTTCATGCCAGTAATCCCAGCAGCTCGGGTGGCTGTGGCAGAGGGATCATAAGTTCAAAGCCAGCCTCAGCAACTTAGCAGGGCCCTGAGCAACTGAGTGAGACCTTGTCTTTAAAAAGAAAAAAAAAAATCATATAGTATTGCACAGGGTCTAAGTGGCCCAGTCTGTCCTTGAAACTGCAACCCTCCTGCCTCTGCCTCTGGAGCAGCTGGGATTGCTGGGGTGCACCACTGTGCCTGGTCTCCTACCCTGACTTTCTCTGTGAGGTAACCGGCCTAGGTCATCAGCTAGATGAAGGAAAGGCCAGATCCAGAGTCTCCTACCCAGAGACATTTTCCTTGGGTAGGGACCCGTTTTCTCCTCCTTGTCACAGGTGTGACAGCCTTTGCATTTCTTGTCCTGCCCAGGCCTGACCCAGCTTGCCCCCCACACCTCCCTGATGCCAACCTCTTTTTGACCCCCTTTGTCCCTTGCTAGGCGTAGACCTGAGCCCTGTCACTCTTCATGGGGCCTCCACCTGAAATCTAGTCCCTCCTCTGGCAGAGGCCAATTGTCCCCTCACAGGGCCCAGCATTCATCTGGGGCTTCTGTTGCTCCAGTGAGGCTGCCCTTAGGGTTTCCTGGATGACTCAAGTTCTCTCACCTCTGCACGGCAGGGGGAGGCTGAGCCATTCCCCATCCCTCCAGCAGAAGGCAGCCCTTGCCTGGCCTTCCTCTGGGGTCAGCGCCAGGGAAGGCCTCAGGGGTGAGAGGATTGCTGAGGGGCAGGCCTGGCCCCAGGGGCAAAAGCCATGCAGGGAGGTGTGGTGCCTGGGCCCGGAGGCCCTGGGGGTTATCCCGTAGGAGCTCCGGTTCCTTGCAGGTAGAGGAGGGCCCTGCTGGCTTGGCCCAGATGCAGAGGCGCAGGCCGGCAGAGGTTGGGAGGACTTATTTATTCAAGGCACAGTCATAGCATTGATAACAAGAAGGTTCAGCATTCTGGCACATTCCTTTAGTGGTGGTGGCCAAGGTTAGTCCACAACCCCTCCCGGGCCCCTAGAGGACGCAATGCTGCTGATAGGCACTTTGCTTCCAGAGGCAACTGAGGGCCAGGCAGGCAGGGCCGGGGCTGCTCAAGGCCTGGGGAGGCCCCTCTGGGAGGCTCTAGGCCACACCAAGTCCCCAAGAGGCAGCTCCCTCCAGAAAGGATTTTATGGATGGATTTGGGGTGGGGAAGGGTGGGATGGTGGAAGACAGGCCAAGACGGGTGTGGGCTGGGAGGGGAGGTGGGAGAGGGGAGGTTCTCAGGGAGGGCCTGGATGTGGTATGCATGTGAGGAGCTGAAGGACCCCTCGGTCCCCAGTCAGTGACCATGGGAGGTTGAGGTCAAGTATGCTCAGCAGGGCCTTCTCCATGGCCCTGGGTCTCCAGGAAAAGTAGAGAAGCAAGTAGATCTGGCACTTCCTCAACAGTCACACCAGTACTTGACTCAGATTTAGGTGGAAGTCCCCAGCCGTCTGCCACGTTGTTTGCAGAGCCCTTCCCATACGATGCTTCCATGGACTTCAGGGG